ATGTCAAGTTGTAGGAGAGGCCAATCATACATAGTAGCCAATGAGATCAACACCCGAACTGAACCAATTTTAGCCACAAGAGAGAATGTCTCCATATAGTCTACACCATATAACTGAGAATAGCCCTTGGCCACTAATCGTGCCTTCAATCGTTCCACRCTGCCATCAGGAAGATGCTTCACTATATAGACCCATTTACACCCAACAGTGTACTTACCAGGAGGAAGGGTGGTGAGTTCCCACGTATGATTATGTTGTAAAGCAGAGAGTTCTTCTTCCATGGCTTGCCGCCACCCTGGAGAGGCAAGGGCTTCCTGTACAGTCTTGGGAATGGGAACCGATGAGASTAATGATATAAACKTRHAATGAGAAGCAGAAAGGTGAGCAGTGGAAACATAGTCTGAAATGGGATGAGAAGTACAAGTACGTTTACCTTCCGCAAAGGAATAGGGAGATGAAGATCTGAGGGAGAAGGAGCACTAGCAGGATCTGTCGGCGGGTGCTGAAGTGGAGGAGCCGAAGCACTTCTGCGAGTATACACTTGAGTAATTGGCGGCCTCTCTGTAGTAACTGGCATATGATGTGCATCTGCAGTAGGAGTGGGAGCTACGRGAAGGGGGTCCACAACCGRAAYARGAAGAGGAACCACAGAGGGAGAAGAAGAGACCCCGACATTGGAGAAAAAAGGAACCGACTCAAAGAAGGTGACATCAGGGCACACAAACGACTTATGAAACTTAGGGTTATAACACTTGTACCCTTTCTGAGTCCTTGAGTAGCCAGGAAAAATACACTTCGTAGCCCGAGCATCTAGCTTGTCTACTCCAGGCCCCAAGTGTTGAACAAACAAACACAGCCAAAGACTCTTGGGTGAGAGGAAAGGGAGACAAAGTGGGGAACAACACGAAGAAAGGGGATTGACTTCCAAGAATTGACATGGGCATCCGATTTATTAAAAAACAGGATGTAAAAACAGCATCACTCCAAAAGTGCTTTGGGACATGCATATTGATCATCAAGGACCGAGCAGTTTCAAGAAGATGTCTATTTTTCTGTTCAGCTACACCGTTTTGTTGCGGGGTGTAGGCACAAGAAGTTTGATGAATTATTCCATGATGTTCTAGGTATTGCTGAAATG